TAAATCCAAACCCCCTAAATCGAAACCTCTACTTCCAAAACTCTTTCCCTAAACCCTAAATCCAAAACCCCTAAACCCTAAAGCCGAACTGCAAAACTTCTAAACCCTAAACCCCAAATCCAAAATCTTTAAACCCAAGACCATTCAGGCTGTCCCAGAATCCTGAATTGGCCAAGTGACCCGCAAAAATGTGTGCAAAGTGACCCGAAATGGTGCGGGATCCGAATTGGCTAAGTGACCCGCAAAGGTGTTTCCAATATTGTGAAGGTAGCTTTTGGCCGGGGATTGTCAGAAGTCGCTGAGCTGTAGCCTTAAGGAATTTTTTTTATTGGCACTTGTATGCTACTGCTACGGTATCAGATCCTGCTATTTTCTATTCTTGGAGAAAGCTGCGCAGAAGCGAGTGTGTGTGAATCATCGAGCAACCTGCTGAGACAGACGTAGAGACAAGCTTCCGAGGCTCATTCGGGATGCCTCTGCATTGAAGGCTGTCCTTCCCAAGGGAGACTCGGCCAAGCTCAACGTCCTGCAGCATTGTTTGACTATGAATACGAAGAACCTCAGGAGAAGCTATGGAATCGCCTCGTTTCAATCTTGAAGTTCCAGGCAAGCATCACAGCAAATTTGGAGCAGAGTGCCCTCAAATTTGGTGGCCTTTGAGCAAGGATTCATGTGCTTGCATGCTCGACAAAGGTGTTGGTCATCTTCGTGACTTATGCCTCCGCTTTTTCCCCAACGGTCCCTTTGCCATGGTTTTTTTTTCAGCATTACCAGTAATGCATAAGACGCGTGCAATAAAGGACCCTTCAAATTCTGTGATCCAACCATTGCAGGTGCATTGCATGCCCGTGCAGAGGAGCGTACTTTGCATATTTCAGTTGATCAAAAGACACAGCAGCTGAGCTTTGATTTTTTGCTTTTGTCAGTGAACGGTCTGTGAAAGGACACTTGCTCGCTATACCTGGTACACCCTCTTGACATGCCGTGGGTTTGGCGCTCGGATTAAACGTCGGCTAAACAAACAAGCTGGGACTTGTCCAGTCCAAATACGAGCTGGCGGTGGGCCGCACCATCCAGGGCCCGTTTGATCCAATCTTTGGAGGACGCTTGTGACCCTGTAAACCTGAACGTGAGAATTCCTGCGGCAAGATTCCATTGTGTAGCTGGTGCATGTTTGCAGGCACAGATGACTTTTGCAGCCTTTCCGCAAACCTCAGCGAGGCAGAGCAATTTGCGTCCTCTGGAAGTTGGAAGGGTCTGCCAGAGCTTGGCATCAGGACGAGACAGGACGATCTGCCGTTTGCATTGGAGTTCGATTTCTGGTCCTCACCTTAGCCAATGCGCTATGCATTTCCAAGATAGTGCTGATGCAGAGGCCAAAGATGCTGACAGCTGAGAAAGCGTGGCAAGCGACTGCAGGCACGTTAGCTCAGAAAAGCAAGCAAGATATCCTTAGCTCCGCAGGACTTCATCGCTCTGTCTGAGGGCGTAGAGATTTGCTTCCTTGTAGCATATCAGCCTCAATGCTGAAAGCAGGGGTGCCGCTTGATGACATGCGAGGGCTAGTTTGGCCTCCTCCTGTCTGTAGTGTGAACTTGTCGCGCAACTGCAAAAAGGATTTTCGCTTTGACCAAGAGCAACGTGAAGGAAGTCATCATTTTGCTAGCTGCAATGCAGGTTTCTGCATTGCTGCTGCAGGCCATGTTCCATCGTGCTGGGGCACCCCTTGGAGCCGGTCTTGCGCTTGAGGCGCAGACGACACATGTCCTTATCCTGAAATCGGGATTCTCACGCTCAGGTCGATGCCAGCACGACTTCGGCAGAAAAGGATGATCTATGCAGCAGGCAACTCTGGGAGAACAGGTGTTGAACGAGTCAAGTGCGCTGCTGGTGGCAGGCTTCGATTCCTTGAGGTCTTCACCTTGGTGTGCATACGCGTTTTGCCGGCTTGTCTTTAGTTCTTCAAGAACTCGAGATCACCATGCTACGTGCCAGGTCAATCAAAGTCCCATTTTAACATCCAGACTACAAGACGCCAAAAGAGATATGTCTCGTGGTCTGAAGAGAGGCAGGAGACTTTCTTTGTGCTTTGGGGTTCGACTGGACACTGATATCACTGCTTCCCTGGTCGGGCGGGTACAGGGTTTACCAGGCAACACCAGTGGCAGCGGTCTTGTTGGAAGTTCGGGCGACTTGGAGCGCAGGGCTCATTTGACAGTGCAGCAATGAATCAGATGAATCGGCATGATATGCATGGTGAGAACAGTGCTCTCGCTTCAGGCGAGCTGAGACAAAAGTGCAACGCTAAGAAAAGCTTTGAGTTGCCCACTGGATCCACGTGTTGTGTAGATGGAGTACGATGAATTGAGTTGCTCTGCAAGGTCTCCATTCTTGCTGGTGTCCCGCGCATGAACACGTGATTTGCCTGCATTGGCTTGACACATGTGCACCCGTCGCTCATTGCTGATGCTTGTTCTTCTATGAACTTGGATTTGCTTTCAATAGGCGCCTGCCACCTGACTGCCATCATTCATGTGATTAAGGCTCTTACACAAACTACTTGGGAGATGCTGTTGCAACAGCATGCGTAGTTGCATGGACAAATCCTGCCAGCCTTTTTTCTTCCTTGAACCGGGTGCAGTGGAGCGGAGCACACCAAGCAAAAAGAATATATACCTGCTACGTGGTCTCCAGGCTCTGCAAGAAACCCTGCAGCTTTTCTCAAATCTGGGATTTTTGTACGGTGTTGCAGCACTGCAGATTTCTACAGAAAAGATCCGAATTGCGTAGGACGTGCGAAATTTGTCGAGTCATTGTAGCTATTCTACTTTGGAATTACAAGCAAACATATTGGCATTTGAGAAGTTTTTGCGACGAGCTACTGGAGTGTACGCAGAGCCTGTTGCTCCCTGACATCACTCTCCACCGTGCTTCCTCGCAGCTTCTCCCTGTGATTTTCCCCTCGCAAGCCATTGTTGGCATCAAACTTGCTCACCCTGCGTACCTTTCAGCGTGGAACAGTTTCGTTGCTAGTGGGGTCTAAAAAATGTCCAGTGGCCCTGGCCCAAGAAATTTATGAAGGTCCAGGTGTCCACTTTCCTCATCTGCTTTTGGAGAATGATGACTTGGATTTCGTGATTTGGTAGGACTTTGGCAAATTAATTGAGCAGCCCCATGTTCATGTTCCACTTGGGTTTCTGTTTTGCAGGGCTCGCCCTCCTTCGGTGTGTCTGCTGAAATCCAAGAAGCATACAGTGTACAGAACCTGTTATGGCCGAAGATTATGCAAGGCTTGTACCAAACAGGAGCCAGTGTTGTGGGGCATTGGCGACGGTGCAGTGTGACTCTGCCATGGGTGGTGCCGAGGCAGGCTGACGCGCAGGAGAAGTGGGCGTCTGTAGCTCAAAGCATATCCGCAGTGCACATTGGCATTTTTCAATCGAGATTTCGTGGGGCGTTGCAGCAGTAGACTGCTGGTGCCTGCAGACGGTGAGGTCCACAGTGAGGCGCTTGAGTGCCGTGTTGATTGGAGGGCTGGTCCCTCGGGAGTTCCTAGCGCGTTTTGCCCGAAAGCCAAGTTTGAGATAAGATGAGAATTTACGGCCGCTTCTTGTTGCATGACCATCCTAAGGTCCTACTAGCAACATTCAGCCTGCCAGGCGTTCCAACGCTCCAGGAGTCTCCAATCCAGGTCTACTGTACTTTCTGGCAAGACCTAGCAACCTAGCAAGAGCCTTTGCAACAGAATCACCATATTCTTGCCAAGAAGTTTCTGAGATGCATTTCCCAAGAATCCTGTTTGCACCAGAAGTTAGAAGCCTACCTGCATGTCCCTAGACCTAGCGATCCCTGATCGATAAATCAATCGCGCCCTTGAGATCCTCACCGTCCAGTCCTGTCAAAACCAAGCCGCTATCCCAACTCGAGGCAAATGTGCAGTGACGATATGGACACTTTAAGGAGGAACAGGGCAGTGAGAAAACTATTGAGGCGCCGGGCCTCCACGGAACGTGTCGCTGAGCCAGAGCCTGACCCTCCGCTGCTGGGCGGCAAGAGATGGTTTGGGATCCGGGCAGCTCGATGGTGAGATGCAGATTGGAGAATGCGTATTCAGTATGTGAGTTTTCTAGTCTTTGTAGTTTCTTCCAGACCCCGTGATTGCCTGATCCTGTGGCCTCTGGTCCTGCGATCTGCGCAGTCTTCCGGTCCACCCATTATTGCATTACTATGTTAAACAACTCATTAGAAGTAGACTCATTGCTGTGTATCATTCTCTGCATCTTCTCGTCATTGGCATTACTACTCTTACTCTTACATTTTTTCATCCATCAGTCTTCATCATTGTTCAGAATAGTTTATCATCTTTGATCATGTCTCACCATTTTCATTTTTCGTGATTTTAATCACATATCTTAATCTTCATCCGTGTTCTTCCGCTGATGTAGGATCTGCGCCTAAGACTCATTGCCCAGCTTGCGTGGTCAGCTGAGCTTGGGCCTCTGCGGTGGCGCTTTTGGGGGCGGCCAGTGCCGAGTCGGGCGTGAAGACATTTGTGGATGGCCAGCGCGGGGGACTGGGTGCCGCATCAAGACGGCGCCCTATCACCAGGCAAGTTCACCATTTTATAGCATGTTTGCTGAACCTTTAGGCTTGGCAGGTTCGGTGAGGTTCGTTCTCAACCCAGCACATGTGAAACTTTCTCTGCAGCACGCAGCTGCTCAGATGCGACGGAGCAACTTTCCTTGTCTTCCCGGCCCTCCCAGCCCGCTCGCCTGCTGTGAGCACTTGTTGTGAAGTTCATGTCAATGCTCTGACAAAACCGTGCTGCGGAGAAACTTTGACATGTTGGGTTGACAAGGAACCTCACCGAACCTGCCAAAAACAAAGGTTCAGCATTCAACCAACACAGTACGAACATACGAGGAAGTGAGAGTACAGAATGAGCTTCAACATGCAAGCACTGCCACTTTGCGCTCCTCGTGACGAAGCTTCGGATGAAATCAGAACATTGGAAGCAATGCAAAATGCAGGCAGCAGAGTCACTAAACACAAATGGTTTTTCTACCCAATGCGGGCCCAATGCGGAAGATTCTCAACGCGGCAAGGCAGCCATGAGAAGCGCATGCAGGAGCCCAAGTTCCAAAAAGGATGAGCAACAAGTGTAGCATGAGGCTTCTTTCAAAAACCGGAAGAAGGGACACGGGCGCTGGTTGGCAATCAGGCTGCAAAGCTGCCCAGCCCTCGCGGGACATGGCATAGTTGATGTTTGCTTTGCTGTGGACATGTTCGTAGTTGGGCTGGGATCCGGCCCTTGTATAAAACAAATGAACAACAGCACTGATGCTGGCTATATACATCTTCTTGGGGGACTATTCTAAGTAGGTTGCCAATGAAACGCCACATGTCTGCTCTTTCCAAGAAGGGACGCAGGTTGTTAATCGTCAAGACTACTGCCAAGCACTCAGCCTGGTTTATTTGGGTTTGCCTCGGCAAAAGGAAATCCAACCACTCCCTAGGCACGTTTAGGAAACCTGCTTTGGGTTTTGGCCACATTTGGCAGAAGGCAACAACAGCCACGCCCACCAGCATGTTCGGCTCACATGCTGCGTCAGTGTATATCAAGACGCAAGGCCTACAAGAGGTTGGGGGAACTTCCCGACCAGGCAGCAATTGAAGGGCGAGCTTGGGGTAGTTAGGGCATCGCAGCCATGCTGCAGCCATGGAGAGTTTGGGCTGCGTACATACGACAATATAAAGAACACCGGCAGAGATGCCAACTTCGAAAGAAGCAGGATAAAATGAAGGAAACACAAAATGCTGCAAATAGACATGACTTCAGAGGAGTCTGCAATATCCATCGTAGTCTTGCCCCCAAGGCCTCTTGCAAAAGCACGCAATTAAGAGGGCAGGGGGGCAATCTACTCAGCTGGGGATTGGTCTAAATTCCTTATAATACGGGGTCCCATATTTGGGTTCCCATTATAACACGGGGCCCTATATGAATTTCCCCCATTTTGGGAACAGTAATTTAGGGAAACTACAAGCTGTGAGCATTTCGCTGGTAAATTCACGTCTTGCGACAACTGGTGTATATCACTGACAAGCATGGATTGCGCTGTGACTTTGCGTTGCTGCAGTTTTTCGGGTCAATGTTTGAGCGGGCGACCTGGCCCTTCATCCTAGGACTACTAGGGTGTACTTCGAGCCATCCCACTGATTTTCTACTGATTGGGTTGCTAGCCTGGCTGTGTGGTTTGATCTGTGGAGTGGTCATCACAACCCTGCTGCTTTCCCAAACGGCTCGGAATATCTTGCTGGGGTGTCTTGGTGCTGTGGTGCGTGAGGTGCGCGCAGCCCCAGGTCCTGCCGAGCGGAGGCTGGCACGCTACCGCTTGCATGAACAGTGAGGGTGACCTTGGTGATTTGATTTCTAGAGTGAGCAACCTCACCATCAATATCCACATCACCACTGCTTCGGCAAGAGTCTTCCCGCTCTTCATCGTCTTGAACTAGGCCGGCCCCCCGAAACGGGCCCAACCTCGCCTCCAACAGCTCAGGCGACAGCCAGGTCCGCAGCGAGTGGTTTCAAAGGCCTACACCTGCAGACTGCCCCACGGAGGTGCTCTTGTTGGCAAGGAAGATTCGATCCTCCTTACAAGCCTGAGCCCGGAGGAAAGGATTAAGGCAGCTTACGCTCGTGGCCGCGAGGCAGCTCAGATCCTGCGCGGCGAGCTCAGTTGCTGGGATAGACAGCCGCCGGACCTGCTACATTTGGCCTGCGACTCCTCGGAAGAGCCCTTCTACACCACCTCTTTGCACAAGTACTTTGACTCAGTGAAAACTGGTCCAGGTGGCTCTTGGGATCCGGCTTCAGTTTCGCACGGCTTTGCCTCTATCTCCAAGGGCGAGGCCTTCTGCCGCGGTGCAGGCCTGAGTGGTCTGCCTCGCAAGGCAGATCTACCTGGAGGAATGGCGGACCGCCGAGAGTCCGGAAGGATACTCCAAGCTGTACTTTGTCTTCGAAGAGCTCTGCTCCCAATGCTTCATTGTCAGGGCGGTGGAAGGCGGCGTGATGATCATGCCTGCCTCAGGGCGCCATCCAACCTGCCACCTTGGAAGCCGCTGCCGACTGGACACGATGGAGCGCTCGGACCCTGGAAGCTGGTGAGCGTAGCTGCTATCGTGCGCGGCCGGGAGCTCAAGCGTTCGTTGACCTGCCTTTGGTGAACTTGGCGGTTGCAGGGCTGGACCTTCTTTCCCTCGAACCGCGCCATGGCATACTGTCAGTGATCTGGCCGCATTTTCGAAGGGACTGTCGAGGCTTTGGAGGACTACCTAAGTCACCTTCGTGGGCGTCTGGAGCACTACCTCACAATCGAGGACGACGAGGCCGATGCCCCTGGTGGTCCAGAGCTCCTCCTGTTCCCGGTGGCGAAGACGTCCTTCAGCAACTCCGGGGCTACTTCTTCGAACGCAGCGGTCCTGGCTGGACTACAGAACAGGCTGGCCAATTTGGACAAGTTCGAGGAAAGGTTGGTCCCCCTCGAGCAGCACCCGCCTCCAAGTCGGGACCTTGGCAATGGAAGCGCTCAAGCCCCTGCTTGGGCTCCCCAGCTGTTCGCCGAGGGCGAGTCGGCGCAACTTCGACCGGAACAGGTGCAACAACTGCCAAAGCTTTGGGGGACGTGCCTGGCTTTTCTGGAGTGAGGACTCGGAACTCGTCGGCTCCGCTGAAGGCCACCGCGAAGGCAAAGTCGATGGCCAAGTTGTTCGAGCACATGGGCGACGCGGATGCAGAGGAGGCCGCCAAAAACGTGGCCGCCGCGGGGACGTTCTTCAGCAGCTACTGGTGCAGCAAACGGCCATCCTGGCCCAGCTTGCAGCTTCAGCGAAGAGCGCCGACCGTCTCAGTCTGTTAGGGCAGTGCTTCGGACGACGATCCGAAACTGCCGGGTGTCAAGGGAATGGCTGCCAGGCAAATCGTGCGGGAGCACTTCCAGAAGCAGCCTCTGACGGTCTACCACAATAAGTTTGAGAGAGACTTGCCCAAGCTCGTTCCAGGAGACTGTGGTCCTGGGTTTCTTCAAGACTTTGACCTACCTGGCCTTTCTCCTCTGCACGGCCTGGGAAGCCCTGGAGCAGAACAAAGGAGACGAAGTGGCATCGCTCATCGCCAAGGGCCTGTGGCAAACGAGTCCGGGCAGACTCGTCTAGCGTGGCTCCTGACATGTCTGGACGACCCCCCCTTTGCGATGGTGGAAGCTCGCCGAGCTCCTGAACCAAGGTGGGTAGGCGCGCAGCGGGTACCTGAGGGACGCGCAGCTGATTCAGGAAAGGACCATTGCAGTGCACCAGCCGCCGGCTCCATCGACAAATCCCCCGAGCAACCCGGGGAAGCCGAAAGGCAAGGGGAAGAAGCAGAAAGCCATAAAAGGCAATGCGGAGGGGGAGGCCACCGGCTGTCTTCTCTCGACTGGTTTCTTCCTCAGCTTTTCCCTTCAGGTCTTGATGATTCCCTTAGTGCCTCTACGCTGGCTTTGGTAGTTCAGAGGTTTTTGCTGAGGGCGAAGACTCCTTTATCAAGCTTCATTCATAATTCACTTGCGCAATCTATTTTTCGAGCCCGCCTCGCAGAGCTCCACAGATCTTTGGCCATGTCCTTTGCCCCCACCTATGGAACATCCGCGTTCCAGGTTGGGCAGCAGGCGCAAGGCGCGGTGGACCGTCAGGCACCGACGCAGGTTGGTTACTCGCCATATAGTTGCAGCGTGTAATTGGCTTGCCTTGGGTAGACCTAAAGCTCCTCCTGCAGACTTGCCGCCTCCTTCGGACCTTCAGACTGCAATGCTGGCCAGGTTCGAGGACATGGCCATGACCTGGCTCCGCTTGGGCAAAGGGCCCAAACGCGGACTTGACAGAGCCGCTCAGAAGTTTGACACCATCAGCAGCCAACTTTGTGAGATTGAGAAGCTGTGCACTCATTTGACTTCGCAAATGCAGCCTTACAGCCACAAGCCGAGCCGCACTCAGGCCGAGGCGTCCGAGAGTGAGCGCCGCCCAGCTTGTGCTGCACGCGCAGTGGCGAAGACCACTGCTGAACCATTTGCAAGCTGGACTCTGGATCCTGACCGCCTTGTCTTTGAAGCAGTTTCTTTCGGACCCTTTGCTAAAGGCCGGATTCATGAACCCAACCTTCTTCAGACATCACAGAGAGCGGTGGCCAGAGACAAAGCGGGCCAGAGTCCAGACAAGTCGAGCCAGACAGCTGAAACTTTACGCCAATGGGATTCTGTGCACTCCCGCCAGTTCTTCAGAAGCCAAATACAGGTGCGGATTAGTTTCGGTGTACAAATCGGACACTGTGGATCGTCACATTCTCAATCCTATACCAGAGAATGCCAGAAGTTTCAGCTTATCTGACTCTACGTTGAGTTTGTCGCATGCATCGCTGCTCACGCAAGTCTTCATTCCGGCCGACAAAAACATTGTGATCTCCTCAGACGACCTGAAAGACTTTTATCATGCTTTTGTTGTTTCGGACCAACATGCAGCCAGAAATCATATTCATGGGGTATTTCGTGGGTCAGATTTTGTCGGCCACGCCTACAGACCCGCCTGATAAGCATTACGGACTGCCTTCTTGGTGGAGGTTCGGAGCCCGGCCTGCTCATATGCCTTGCAAGCTTGTCGGAACAGCACGCAATCTCTACGATGCGGCGGCGGCTTCCGTGCTTTCTCCCAGGCATCTACAAGAAGGAGAAAAACATGATCATCGATGCAAAGTAGATCGAAACCTGGCCCTCGGGGGATGGGATGTCTATACTGCACCTGCTCTGATGGTTTAAGGCAACCTGCTCTTTGCAACAAATTCGTGTGACTACTGTGCTGGGGGGTCAGATCGATGGAGTTCGGGGAGACCTTGCTGCGCCACGACTAAAGTCCACTGCTTTGTCAGCCTTGACTTTCCAGATGATCGTGTTAGGGTATACATCGCGCAACTTGTTGCAATGCATCATTGGGTGTTGGATTTTTGTGCTCATGTTTCGGCGACCCGTGATGAGTATTTTGTCCGAGGTGTTCTATGAGGGTGCAGGGTTACAGGACACAGAAATCTTCAAGCTCAGCGCTCGGGCAAAGCAGGAGCTGACTCTTTTGGTGTTGTTGTGCCCTTGTGTCACAACAAATCTTCGGGCAACTCCGTTGCCGAAGCTTTTTGCAACAGATGCTTCGCCCTTTGCTGCTGGAGCTTGCGTGGCCCCTATGGCCGAACGGGCAGTGCTGGAGCTACTAAGGTTCGCGGATCATAAAGGGCATTTTACAAAGTTGCTTCCCCAAGCTGCCTCTTACATCCAGGACCTCGACTTGCAAGGCCCCGGCACTGCTTTTGGATCAGTACCTAGATCCCTTGCTGAAGGCATCCTTTTTGATGTCTGTGAAGTTTTCAGAGGAGAAGGCAACCTTAGCAAGATGGCCAGAAGCATGGGATTGCGTGTTCACGAGGGCTTTGAGGTGCATGACGGTGACACTGGAAACATCCTGCAATCACCCACGATGCTGTGTATTATCGGACTGATATGCAGAAGGGTCGTTGCACGCATCCATCTAGGTCCGCCATGCACCACGTTTGGCACGATTAGGCATCCAAGGGTCCGAAGCAAGCAATTTCCGTGGGGCTTCAACGTTTCAGATCCGGCTACAGCAGAGGGTAACACTTTCGCTATTCGAACTGCTTTTGTTCTACATCTGGCCGCTTCGTATGGAGTACTTGCCACTGCTGAACAGCCCAACGGCTCTGTAATGTATCGCCTTGATATATTTACACGTTTGTTGGCCCGCGGTTTCTGTTACGATTCAGTTACTGCAGCTTTGGCGCACCTTTTCAAAAGGCGTCAAAGTGGTTGGTGAATTATGCTGATCTTTCGCCCTTGGAAGGAGCCTGCGCGTGCCCACTGAGGGGTAACCATCTCAGACTCGAGAGCGCCTTCACAGCTGAGAGCCTGAAAACCTTCAAAACGCTCTGCCGACCAAGCTGCAAGGAGGTATTCGGCCGAGAGCCTGTGGAAGGAGAGCCCCTTTGCAAATTGTCAGGGACTTACCCCCTGCCTGCCATGCTGCGTTTGCTAGAATTGCAACTTCCAGCCATACAGCGCATGTCTGGAGATCAATCAAGCTTCTCCCGTACAAGCCACGAACCCCCTAGATGGGTCGGTGATCTCGGTAACTGCCTTGAATGGAAGACCCTCTTCCAATACCGATTCAGAAAAGTGAATCACATCAATGTCAACGAAGAACTCTCCTACCGCAGCTTGCTGAAGCACCTTGCCAAGACCGCTCAGGGTTCCCCCTTTGGGGTTCTACTTGACAGCCGGGTTACAATTGGTTGCAATGCAAAGGGGAGGTCGAGCAGTACACTCTCAACTACTACCTGAGCACCAGCTTGCCTTACGTCTTAGGCGGAGGGTTGTTCCCCTACTTGTTTCATGTAGGAACGCATGATAACTGCGCTGATGATCCTTCGCGGCTGGTGCCTTTGAGACGGACTGGTTCGGCGCAGCCTTTCTGGCTGCAGACCCTGCTGGCGGGCAACTTTGACTACTTTTCGGCTGTGCGCCTCGCAGACGACATAGCCGGTCCACTTGGGCGATGGGCTCGACTCAGTGCCGTCCTCGCTTTGGCACTACGTGATGCCAAGACCTCGCCGTGCTTCAGCTCTGGGCCGGGCACGAGTCGACCTTGAACTAGCCGGCCTCACTAAAACCGTGGTAAGCCGGAGGGAGAGTTTGTACAAGGACTTCACTTCTTGGGTTGCAGGCGAGCTGCGGTGCGACTTCTGCCAGGTCAGTGGAAGTGGACTGTTGCTCGGAACTGCTTTAGTTGGTTACGGCAAGGCTTTGTTTTACGGGGTTCCCCTAAGTACGTTTTTTCTGAGACTTTAAACGCTGTCTGCGGCCGCTTCAAGCACTTCAAGCCTTTTCTGGCCGCGGGCTGGAGCGTTCTGACTCGCTGGGAAGAAGAGGAGCCTGTTGAGAGGTCTATGGTGATGCCCGAAGCGCGCTTCAAAGCTGCAGTGGCCGTGGCATTACTCTGGCGCTGGCCTTTCTTTGTAGCTGCTGCTCTTCTGGGTTTTCACGCGCTGCTACGTCTAGGGGAAATCCTGGCGCTGCGGAGACAAGACCTGATCCTGCCTCGTGATTTGCTGCCAACCACACCTCTGGCTTATGTGCGAATCCTGGGCTCGAAAACCCGGCGCTTTCTGCAGAGACAACATGCCAAAGTTTCAGATGCATGCACAGTGCATTATCTCAGTGCTCGTTTTGGTGAGGTGACTTCTCGCAAACCGCTCCTTTGTTCGACTGTTCTCCGAACGTCTTTCGACGCCGCTGGGACCTTGTTTTCGGAAGACTGGGCGTGCCAACCACCGAAGGTGCAAAAGGCGTCACGCCTAAGTCTCTGCGAGGCTCGGGTGCCACATGGCTTTATCAGGTGACTGAAGACGTCGAAAAGATACAGTGGCGCGGGCGATGGCAACAGCGTCGCACGCTTGAACACTACCTGCAGGAGGTAGCCGGGCAAATTCTTTTGGCTGACCTGTCAGAGAGACATCGCCAAACAATTCTGCTGCTCGCGCCTTTCGCGGAACGGCTTCTTCGAGCGTTCACCAGGGACTTCCTAGGCTAGTTGCTAGCAAGTACAGAGCAAACTTGGAGTCAGCCTCCTTACATAGTGTTTCAAAACCTGGAGCCTGATTTCGTGTGCAGAATCCCAGCTGGAGATTGCTTTGACAAGCTTTCAGCCTTGCAGCGATGCACTCGGGATACAGTTGTTAGCTGCGCCAAAAGAAGGAGCCATCCATCCTCAGCCGTATATCTAGACCAAACCAAGACTGTGCATACCAGCTTCCCCTTGGTGGGCATTAGCGTTCCACATGGCTGGTCGGATGCGCGTCTAGTGCTGATTAAGAAACCGGGAAAACTGGTAGGGGCCCCACTCGCCATGGACCCATAGGCCTCCAAGATCAACTTGGCAAACTCACCTTTAAGCGCATTCTTGACCCATACCTCGAAGACATTCATCAAGCGCGGGTATGTGCCAGGCAGAAGCACCACCGATGCGCTCAGACGGGTATTCGAGCATTGTCACGAGGTGAAAGAGGCGTGCCATGGACTGGGGCACTCGGTTCTGCGACGATATCAAGGCCAAGCGCCAGTGATTCT